CACCAAATTCAGGAATCCATGGCTTTGTGCCAATGGGCCTTGCAAGGTCTCCAGTTACTCCCCCAAGACTCAAGATACCATAAATCAAATTTTCAAACTTATTCGGAACCCGCACAAAAGAAGCCCTCCTAATGGTCCCTATCATCTGTATGTGCCAGGATCAGATCATAAAAACTTAATCGAATCGCTTGACAGTTGTAGTAGACTCCTAGTTAATCCGTGTACATCACAAAGGATCAGACTGACTGACCCACGAACTAAATGACTGACTGGTTGACTGACTGACTGACTGACTGACTGACTGACTGACTGACCGACTGACTGACTGACTGACTGACTGACTGACTGACTGACTGACTGACTGACTGATACGATAAATACAAAATAAATGAAAAGAATGAAGTAACGAGGGAAACGAATAAAATCCTGTATTTGCTTTAATTGATTTTTCATTGAAGATTGATACTCTCTGATCAGTTTACAATTGTGGGGAGACTTTTGTGGGAACGTGTTGAGCCCAGTTGATATTCTCTAAATTCTGATGCTGAAAACAAACATTGAGTAACTGATCACTCAGAAATTTACATAGATTGATATTGACTTAGTGACTAGGGAATTATTTTTTATTTTATTTCAATAGATAGCTAATTACACGGGACTGGCAAATGTGCCACAACATAGAACAAAAAATCTTTAGAATTTGTTCATGGGTTTTGTGAGCAGTTCCCTTCCGGGTTGCCCCGATCGAGAAAAGAGAATAATCTAGGAGTCCCCACCCGAAGCCTTTAGATAGAAATTCAAACATGCAAGACAACAGGACGGACCTCGGGGCCCGCAATCCGTTGGGGTCAGTGTCCAGTTCCTTGGATCATTAACCCTTTGGACAGGGTCAAACTTCCAAGGTGCCCAATACACCTTGAAGCCCAATCGATCCGGTAACTACTGTTACAACCAGGCCGCTTTGTGTGTGGTTATTATACCTCTTCTTGGTTGGCTTGGAATCAGTCTTTAGCCAACCCCCCAGGTTAACTGCCAATGGTTCATAAACGGGATTATAGTCCAGGATGTTAGCTTTTTGTCCTCTCACTTTGGTGGTAAAGCTCCTTTGCGACGGGAGGGCTGTGAGTAGGGCTTCCTCAGCAGAAGCTGTTCGAGACGCTTCGTCATATCGAAGCATTTCGCGAGATGTAAAGGAATGGCGACCAGTCACACACAACCCGAGACACCCATCCCGACCATACTGATGATGGCGAACTACATTGATAAATCAATAGCATGCACAGACCCCAGAGGTTTTCCGACAGAGAGAATTACTTCAATTGTAAACCTCATGCACAAAAACATGTCAAAGGATGGAAAAACACGGGAAAGGAGTTGACCGCCAAGAGTATTTGATCCCAAATGTGGTGGGTTGACCGACAGAGATGATCAAAGTCTGTTAAGCTTTTGATCATTCACGGAAATACAGGATTACAAATGTTTTAGGAGGAAAATCACCCCACTGGTAAATCGATAAAAAAAGCTTCAGAATTCAATAACAATTTGTTTTCCACAAGTCTAAAATTAGATGGCGGGGCCCCGATGATGAACTTAGGTATTCATTGACAACTTCCAATAAAGACTCTCGACTGACCTCCCGATTATTTTTTTTATGGACTTTCATTGGGTCTTAAGTAATCCGGTTTTGTTTTTATTCCTAAAATTTGAGAATCTATTTGGTCATCAGTTAAATAAACTAATCAGCACCTGAAATTATCGATCAATGTTCTGAACTGTAAGGTTGCAGCATTGTTGCCCTGCACCCAAGGGTCATTAGTAGCTAAAAATGCGGCTGAATAAAATAATGTGGCCACTGGAAATCGCTACTGAAACTCTTCGGAGTTAGCCCATATTAATGACGTCAAATATTTCGCTCAGTCTTGCTGGTGGTTTAACCAGCTAAAAAAGCAGTCAATATAACATTGAGCAGCTGAGCTCCGGAGAGATATGATTTAAAAGTTTAAAAGTTTACTCAGTCTCTATATGTTTTTTGTGGAAGATGCAAGCCTGAGCGACATCAAATGATCACCGTATTTGCCTTACAAATATCTATACAAATATCATACATCTGTCTGTATGATCTCTGCGCAAATAAGAGAATACTGTGACAAACAACTCAATCCCTAATGCTGGACACAAACCGTTGATTGAATCATTTTGTGAATGAATAAAATTTACGTAAATGACAATATAAAATCAAAGTGATGTATGACTGATACCTGATGTTGACGATATTTACGGCTCAAGGAAATGGGGCAGTGATACACAACAAAGAAAGTACTGAAACTCGAATAACAAACATTAATGCTTTTAAAGACTTCCCTAAACCTTTTGGTCCCCATGGACTGTCTGATGCAATAGCTTTTTTGATAAATCCTAATAGACTCCTAGTGTCTGATAACAATTCCCTGCTGACATTTGTTGACGGAACATTTATTCCATTGTTTTACCTCAATCCTTATTGAATCATCAAGGCACTTGATGATAAAAGAATTTTATGCCTTGAATGCAAACTGCTTTATTTCCGGTACCACTGACGATGATACATCACACTGAGGCATAAAACATTGTCGCGTTTGCGGAGCAGAGATCTAATAATTTTGTTCATGCATTCATTGAAAGGAGCTACACTTGATAACCATGAGTTGGCAGCCCAGAAGGATTTTGATAAAAATGCAAATGACCTGATTTCATCAAAATGCATTAAATTGTAGTTCCTGATAGAAGTAACATTTTTGAAAAGGGATTTTTTAAATGTTTCTTCTATTCTGTCTAGAAGGGTCCCTCTTCTCATAGTAGACTAATCGTTGATGGAAATGCCTCTAGTATTGTTTAAATTAAAGTCTGCTAGGCGATAAGCATTATTTATTCCCTAAGATCTACCAAAGAGCGCCAGGTGTTCCTGGAACCTAACCAGTGCCTGAAGTTCACTGCTCACCGGTTCGAGGGAAAGGGAGCAGCTCGATTAATCAAAGAATGCATCTCAGCCGATCATATTGTCAATGGGCAGCTTTGATACAGTTTTATAACAGGCTTGTTTTCACATGATTAGGTATCCAGGGGTTTACTTCCTGTAATCAGATGATACATGCAATCAAACCGCAAAACATGAACACTCTGTGTTTCTGACAAATTAACCCCATTTGAATAAAGGCGCTATTGTCATCGAAAGGTTTTAGAGGGCCTTTTAGAACTTCAATCAAAACCTAAAATCCTAAATATCAGATTTATTTTTCGACTTTCTTTAGAATAAAAAGAGATGCAGAATTGGACTGCTACTGGCTTTAGGTATCTAGGATTGTGGACTACACACGATAGTAGAGGGATTAGAACACCTAACCTTCAGATCACAGCAAGGGTTGGTCTCGATTTCCTTGACTGCCGCCACTTGAACAAGAATGCTTGTGCAAGTAACACGAGTGTATATGCTAATATTGAAGTCCACTTGACTTCACTGGTTTGAATTGAGAATAATCGGCTAAACTTCGGAACAAATTAGGAATAAAACTTTTAAAGGCGAACGAAACAGAAAGGATTGGTTTATTTTCGTATGTCTACCGAACGGTAAAGTGGATCACACGACCATCTTGTTTGTTCTGGGGAGTCGTTAGCAGTGCATCCCATTTATGTTTCCTCATCATAATTCCCTCGGGGTGGAAAGAAAACCCCTCACCCCAGAGGTGTACGGTTGGCGGTGAATACCCAAAGCTCTTGACTATACCATTTCAAAACTACACACCTACCGCATTTTCAGGGTGAATTTACAAATGCTTTAACAATAATTCACAGTATTATGTCTATGAACTTAACCTGAGTCAAAGAACGCCCTACTTAAAATGGAACCAAATAGATGATTTATAAATTTGAGCATATTCCTCCCCCTCCCCTTATCCCTTACCCAAGGAACTAGCATAGGCTTTCACAGTTCACACCTTCCATCTTCGGATGAATCATCTACACAATGACTCAGGTACCTATACTGCGTAGGTAATTCTATTCCAACCGCGAAAAGAACTCGGTGAATCAGTTAGTTTCAGGTTATTATATGACGCGTTTTTAAGTGATAATTATTAAAAGTATCAGTTAGTTTCTTTTGCTCGTCTTATTGGGACCTATATTGCTTCTTCAATAGCGTGCCATCGGCTTAAGACTTGAGAATAGTTGACTGTTGTGTTTAACATTTCTTTCTTTTCATTTTACTTCCTTTCTTGATTATACAAAGATACAATCTTCGGGAAGCGCGAAGTTGGAAGCGGCCAATCAAAGGGCTACCATTCGACACAGCTTTGAAAGTCAGTTGGTGATGGTGGGATTCGAAATCACATCCACGGGGTGATAATTTGGTGACGTTACCACTCCCCCCCCCCCCCAACTTTTCGGCGCATCACATCTCAATTCTTAAAAAAGGATACCAATAAATGTAAAATGGTTTCAAAGTTTACTGAGGCAAGCTTCTTTTCCACCAAAAAATATAATCCATTGCACCATTTGCAGTCAATTGATCTGATATTGCTGATAAAGCTATCTGGACTATTTCTTACGTTTGCGAAAAATTGATTTCACTGTATTCACTTCATGGGATTTTCCTTGCTATCTGACCCTTCCAAAAATCCTTTTAATAATGTCTGGCCAAAATCTCCTCCAAGCCTTATACCATACCTGTCCATACTAGAACCAAGCTACGACCAAAGATATCCTTACCTTCTAATCTGTTGTATCTTTAGTAGTGGATTTTTCTGCCAGTCTTCTCGTTCTGACATCCATCACGCAAAGATCACTTGAATACTTTTCCATGTTTATGCTTTTATCTTCTGCTTTTATCCAGCAAACAAAGACGCGTAATTCTTTATTCTTAGCGGTGATGGTTTTGGAGGCAAAGCTCATCACATTATGACATGAAAACATATTGTTACTTGATTACTTTGCCCTTGGATTGTCGTAATGGGAAACATTTAAAAGGACCTCATTTTTATGCATGTGCGGTCACGTGTTGTTGAACCCCGCGTGACTTGAGACTGAATGGTATAGACTACGCTTTTATCGACTGCGGTGAAATTTGAAAATTCCTTCATTCTGTTTGCATCATGCCAGATGAACGACAGTGTTTATGTCAAGAAGTAGGAGAGATGGTTCAATTGCTTGGTTAATTTATTTCTATTTCTGACCCTGTAGCCAATTGATGAACCCTGGTATGAACGTGTGCATAATAATAAGACGCTTTCTGCCACCAGACGATATGTGAGTTTGTTTCCTGTTTCGTTTGAACACAAGTACATACCCATATCGTCCTTCAGGTCAATTATTATGACCCGGAAGCACACTCCGATGATTTGGATTTCCGACTGAATGCGGCCTATGATCATCATGTGGAATGGAATAAAAACTTGAGCGAATCCTTAGTGCAACCAGAATCCCTTCGACTGCTGAAACCGGAGGAGCTTGTCCTATGTCACAAAGTGAAGGACTCTAAAATTCCGCCTTACCGATGTACTCAACCGCATGGGTAGGTTCATGTTTGACATCACACTTACCATACAAATGCAACTGAAGAAGATTTTTAAAGTGTATTATAGCAGTGTGCTTTGTTTCAATTTTTTATCGGTAAATATATTGACTGAGCCAAAAGGTTTCAATTTTCTTTATTTTCTTCAAAATTAGGGCTTCGAAAGTAGAATATAAGGTTTCTTTAACACTAGTACAAAGCCATTTTTAATGATAGACAATAATGACATTTTTAACCTATAAATAAATGACCAGTACAAAATATAAAATTATTGTATATGTCGAATCTGGAACTGATGGAAGAAATGGTACAATCTGGTCAGGGTGATGAATCGGTTTTATTGAAAAACCTACTATGGAATACAGTTTATCGGAACCTAGCCCTGCTGTTTAACTATATTACCTAACTAGATTATTTATGGGATGTACAGGGACAATTCAGCACATGAATGCTTTAAGTTAAACGGCTTTTAGAACTCTAGGTATTCAGCCTCAAGAAACCTTTAAACAAAGTGCAACTATCCTGGTGGCGGTCTGAGAGAGAAAGAGGAGGGAGAAAATACTGTACAATTAACAACTTTTTTCAGGACGTAATTGTTGGTTGTTTACATTATTGTTTCCCTTGTGAGATATTCCCTTCCACAATTATTTTTTTACTCACCCGGATAACGTTAAGGAACAGATTTTGTAGAACATCATCTATTGCTAAGTTGAAGAGAAACAGAGAAATATAACAATCCTGTCGTACCGCACCGATGACAGGAAATCAGATTGAACTTTCACCATAGGCTCTAACTTTCCGCGAGGTCTGGTGGTGGTGTGCTTTTAGAAGCAAGATATACTTCTAGGGTACTCCGCATCTCAGCAAACAGTTTCAAGGCGCCCGCTTATCTATAAACTCGAGCAGATCCTGTCCAACGACTGTACATCTTTGACAGCCGGTGCCTGCGCAATATGGCTGCGTATGGTGGGAGCACCGCGTGAATATCCACGAGGTTTGATGGAATGTATTATAGTCAGGGAGTCTTCCACTGAGAAAAACCACTTCATTGCATCGTCTTAAGTGGTTGGGGCACTTCCTACGAATGCCTAAAAAATGTCTGCTACACCATGCACTATTTACAGACATTGGTCCGGAAGAAACAGCGAGGTGAGCGGGCGATGACGTGGCCCAGAGTTTTGAAGAGATTGTGCTCAGGTTTGGCTTCCGTCAGGGCTTCCCGGTTCCCTGGCTGAGGCGCATAGATTCAAATTGTCTTGGTCTGGATGCATTGCAGGATGGGGCACCAAGTCGAATTCAGTGGTATGAATGCACTCTTTTGTGTGCGATCCCAAAAGTAAAACCCAAAAAAGTCGAAGTGTAGCATAACAAACCGAACATCTTTTTATCCCAGAAATTGAGTGCTCTTGTTCCCCTTCTTATGCAGTTTCTGTATTTTTGCTTCTACCCATAGTTATTCTGGCACTGTATCTGAATAGCTTATATATATCCTTGCAATAAACCATATCACAACTTTTGTGTGCCTACTAAACAGAAAAAGACTATCCATTTCACCATCCTATTCTATCTTTATTTTGCACAGCCGAATTTTGTCAAATAAAGTGGAGTGTTTCACTACCAAGGAAGATGGAAGCCACATCACCTCTTACAGACATTGGGAAGATACCACAAAAGTACCCATTCACAAAGCGGACAATGCCATTTGTAAGTTTTTTCTTACCTTGCCAAAGGGAGCTGAAGAGAGTGCCCAACATAAGTAAGTCTCACAAGTTATACCAAGGCAGATTTCACATCTCAACTGGTGCAATACAGCAGAAATATGCGGTTTTGTATCGTTGAACAGTACATTAGGTTAAACATGAAAAGAGCAATACCGAATCACCACGTGTTTACCATTGCCAAGGCAGTGACAATGTGACTGACTGTTCATTTTTGTAAATACAGGCCAAGTTTCCATTTTCTGATTTCAACCGACTCCACACTTCTTAGAAGCCGGGGCTTGGTGTTAATAAAAATAATCTTACGCTAAAGCCCTTGGATGGGCTTGTAAAGCTGAACCGCGAAATTACGAAACAATATTTTGAGATTGGATTTCTAGATGATTGTGTTCCACAAAATAACTCTTCAATTACCTATTAAACACGAACACCGATTAAACGAATGAGGGAAACCAAAAGCCAACTTTGACGCGTGAAACAGTGCCATATTGAGGAGGTTAGACATCGCTTGGACAGGTACCGGGGAAAGGTTCTTTAGGAAGCGGCGTGTTCTGGATAATTTATCTACCATTTATATCGAATCAATTTCGAGAACCTTTATCTTGGCGTACTGAACAAAATTAAACAATCAGTGCATGAACAATTACACATATCCCTGGAACATGAGGTGGGTGAGTAAACCTTTCCTTTTGATGCTTCTAAATATGTTTTAAACCTGACGAATTTGGGTCTGATAACAATGCAGAAAGAAGCGCTCTTAATTTTTGTTTATTCTGTATTCCAATGCACCTGCCTCCTATTATTGTTATTGTTATTATTGTCGTGCCGTTGGCATCATGCTCATCTACAAACCGGTGTT